CTAACGAGTTGTCGTATTTTGGGAGAGAAGCACATTACAAAATAATCTACCAATGTAGTGAGGGCATTTTTTCTCAAAGGATAGTGTCTAGCATACTTCAATCCAAACTTCTCTAAACCTTCTTTTTATTTTATTTCAATCATTTTTATTTAATTTTATCATTTTTTAATGTTGATCTTGGTATAATTTCAATGATAAATAATATATATTTTAATTTCTATTTTCATGGTTCCAACACATCATGATATATATTGATGATATGGGTGGTAAGGTCTAAATCTTTTGTAAGAGTGCTCTGATAGGATGTGACACTGGAATGTAGTTTAGTATTTGTTTCCATGTTATTTTCTCATTTTAGGACGTAATGTTAGATTTATTTGAGTATGTTTTATTAGAAATTATTAATTTGATTTAGTTTTTATGTGGTATCCTCTTCCAAAGTTTGAAACAACTTAGTTGATTATTTATGATAGCCTCATTTATTTTGGTTAAGTGCTTCTTATCTATAGTTATTGTGTATACGAGGTAGAGTGTATCACATAGGCAACACTACATGATAATGTATTTATCAAGATTCTAACTCTTGAAATGGCAAAAGAGACATGGAATAAGCTATAGGAGGAGTTTTAAGGGAGCCAAAAAAAATGAAAAGAATGCAAGTGTTGAACCTAAGGAGAGAGTTTGAAACTATTAAAATTAAAGAAAGTGAATATGTCAAAGATTTTACTGGCATACTTTTGAAAGTCGTTACCCAAATCAGATTCCTAGGTGAAAAACTTAGTGATCAAAGAGTTGTGAATAAAATCTTGATGTGTCTTCTAGAGAAGTTTGAATCCAAAATCTCCTATCTTGAAGAAAATAAAGATTTTACTCAAATATCAATTGCAGAACTTGTGAATACTTTGCAAGCCATAGAACAAAGAAGATCTTTGAGGATGGAAGGAAATATTGAAGGTGCTTTTGTGACATATGTAAGAGGCAAAAAACAGGAAAAAGGCAACAAAGAAAAAGGTTGGAAAAACAAGTATCCACCATGCTATCACTATAAAAAGAACAACCATACTGAATACTTTTGTCGTTTAAGTCAAGCATTAATTGTAGGGTGTGCAATCAGTTGGATCATGTGGAGAAGGTTTGTAAAAATAAAGCAAACCTATAGGAACATCAAACCCAAATCGCAGAGCATGAAGAACATGAGGAACATTTATTTGTTGCTATTTGTTATTCAATGAGAAATATTAAAAAGGCATAACTCCTAAATAAAGGATGAACAAATCATATGACTCATGATGTTGCAATTTTCAAAGAATTAAATTAGTTCCAAATCTCCAAAGTCACCATAGGCAATGAAGAAAGTGCTAAAGTCAAAGGTAAAAGAGTTGTTGTTGAAACTCCTTCAAGTATCAAATATCTTTCAGATGTTTTATTTGTAATTGAAATAAATCAAAATCTTTTGAGTGTGGGAGAAATGCATGAAAAGAATTATTCTTTGTGTTTCAAAAATTTGGGATGCATCATTTTTTACCCTTACAAGTACGTGTGAGCTTATCTCCGTTAAAATGAGATATAAAAGTTTTGCAATAAAGTGGAAGAAAAAAGTCATGTATAATTTTTTAAATAAAGATGAAGATTTAAAAAAATGGATCACTTAAGGAGACATTTCAAATTCTAAAATGTGATTCAAATGGATTTACAATAGAAGGTACTCTAAAGAAGGTGACTTTTGGACACAACTGTGGAAGAACGCAAGTAAAAGATTTTGATGATGCCAAACAAATTGTAGAAAACAAGAGGTCAAGATAAAGCAAGGTGTTCAAGAAACAAAAATCTCAAAATGTTTTAGATAAGTTTTGTCAACTGAGCTTTATATGTAAAAAAAAATCTTTAGAAATATTGCATAAGATTCTTGGCCATTTAAAATAAAGAAAGAAAACCTAAATATATTTTTTAAATAAATATATAAACAAGGTTTTGAAAATATAAGCTTTTGTGGATTTTAAGTGTAAATGAGGAAACTACACTGTCTGGTAATCGATTACCATGACATGTAATCGATTACCAGAGAATAGATACTCATATGTTCAAAATTGAAGATGAACTCTGGTAATCGATTACCCATTCCCTGTAATCGATTACCAGAAGATAAAAACTTCAAAATTTGAATTTTAAACTTTACAACGTTCCAATCATTTTGAACCTAAACCGTTGTAATCGATTACCAAGTCTTGTAATCGATTACCAGAGCCTATTTTCTGAAATTTTTAGAAAGTCACAACTCTTCATAAAAAGTTATGACCTATGAAACAATCTTCTATAAATACTAATAATTTTTCAAAAAAAGGTTACGAACTCTATTGTGAAAAAAAAAATTATCTTTACTTTCACTTGGTCAAAATCATTTGCAAATATTATCTAAAGAGTTCTACTAGATCTACAAAGTGTAAAATCCACTCTTCAAAGAGAGATGTTCTACTTCATTCATTTTAACTATTGATCTGTAAAAGGAGAAAGTGTTGTTCTCCTTGGTGGTATGTGATTCTCAACACAAGGAAAGGGAATTCCTAAGTGTTGGAGAATTTGAGTCTTGTAAAGGTTACAAGCATAGTGAAAAATCTCAAGTGGGTGACTTGAGGACTGGATGTAGGCAAGGTTGGCCGAACCAGTATAAAATCAAGTTTGCAACCCTATACTTTTAATTTTGATTGTTAAGTTTTTGCATCATTATATTCAAATTGTTTATGATATTGAATTTATAAGAAAGAAGTTTGAAAATCTTAAATAGAGAAGAAAAATTAGATAACTTAATTCACTCTCCCTCTTAAGTTATACGAGGCTACTTGACTAACTACAACAAACTTGAAAAGAATTTAAAAAAAAAAATAAGGCTTTAAAACTTTTGGGATTTATGGAGAATATTTTTATTGGTCATGGAAGCTGTAACAATCATGGTTATGCCTTTGACCAATGGAGGAGATAAATTTTTTATGGCAAAATTTAATTGAAATTATTGTACTTCTTTTTATCAATTCAACAATAAATTTTGTGAAAAAAAAAATAATGTTGATAGTGCTATTTCAACTCTCATGAAAAAGGTTTTTCAAAATGAAAAATGGATTAAGGAAATTGCAAGGACACTCTTATTTCAAGTGAGAAAATTAATGTTAAGCTCGAAGATGTTAAATCTATTGATGTTCATCTACTTGAAGGAGATTTAACAAAGAAGTGTGAAATGATAATAAAGATCAAAGTTTGAAATGATGAAGAAAAATTCCAATAAAGAATGTTGGCAATTGAGATTCTTCCACTTTATAAATAAATATTTTAAAATTTTTGTAACTTTTTGTTTTACTTATAAATTTGGTTAAAAATTACTTATGTATAGAAAAAGTAAGTTAGTAAGTAAGTAATGTTTGTTTATTAGTATAGTAATATTTTATTGTTTGTTTTCTAGTTAGTCAGTTTTAATATTTAAATACTTGTTATAAACACTTATAATGTGTACAAAAGTAATTTCATAATTTAAATATATCATATAAATTTTTACCCCCTTTTGTGTGTGTTGAAGTTTTATAGATTTTATAATCTAACCATCCTATATTTTATTTAGTCCTGCAACTCTATTTTTATGTTTTGTTTTCAACAATCATCACTTCTGCTTTCAATTTAAAATTCAAATCCATAATTTTACTAAAAATTATCACAAAGAATAGTAGTTGACCTTGATTTTATATGAGATCGTATTTTATTATAGTATAAATTTTTTTATAAAAAAATTAAAATCTAATATTAAAAGGACCATAATTAAACTACGGAAAAATAACGAAGAAATATTCATTAACTGTAATATCTTCTGCGTAGGGGAGAAAAACACATTATTTAAATCGCTGGCTTCAATTCTAACAACCCACCCCACGATTTTCTTCTACGCCGCCACACCCTTCCTCCGTTCGTTGCAATTTCGGAAATAAAATTAAAGACAAAGTTGCTATATACAAATTAAAGAGATATTTTATCATTATATATAAATCGTTAAAGTTAAAGAATAGAAACAGTACTAAAATAAATCTTACGCTGTTGTAAAATAATATCATTTTTTAGTATTACCTTCATAAAATGATATTACAACGTAAACTAATTTAAAGTTTTAACTTGTGTTAGACTTTACTATCAATTGATTATCTAAAGATTATGAGACATGTCAATTTTTATAATACTAAATTATATATCATAAATAAATGTTAAAATAATATAAATAGACAATTTGTACGTAGGTCAGCTCTCCCATGCTACTCACAATCAAGGAACTTGCTCTTGATACATTTAACTTCAAATAAAAGAACATAGAATGAATTCATTAATTTGAAGGGGAAATTTATAATTATTCAATGATTATTGACCGAAAATTAACTGAGATTAATAACGAGAATTTGACGATTAAAAATTGCCATCAAAACTTGGCTTTAATATTTTTTTTAACTTCAAAGTAAAATGTAACTCATTTTCACTTATTTTTGTAAAAATAAAGTAATACTTTCCATCACAACTTTATACTCAAATCTGACATTAAATTTTAATCTTCAATGTGTCGAATATTTAATGAATAAAAAATGCTAATTTTTTCAAATAGTCTTGGCATTACACGACCGTGATTTCCGCCAAATTTATATTATAGTATAGTTTGTTTTAACTTTTCAATCAATACATATTTAAAATAAAAGTGGCATGATTTTTTCTATTTGTACAAGTTGGCATATATATAATACAAATATTCCAACGACCATATAAGTAAACTTCAATATTTAAAAAAAATAAGAAAAAATTAAATACGTTAAAAAATAAGAAAAAATTAAATACGTTTGACAAGTCAGCTAGAAAAAAAAAATCACTTTTAACATGATGTTCGACCTAACTAGCTATATACTACATAGAGAGAGAGAGGTTGCTTAATCTTCTTTCCATTACCAAAAGAAATATAGAGAGAGAGGTTGGTTCATCTAGTTTCCATTTTGGTGGGTGAATGATGGATATGATAGCAGATGCAGTTGTGGGCGCTGTGTTTCAGGAATTGCTGAGAACTGTTTTGGACATAACAAGCAAAGCCATCACGTTCAAGCAAAGCATGGGCAACCTCCAATCCACTCTAGAGGCAATAGCTCCACTGATCAGAGAGATAGAACAACACAACAACGAGTTGGGGCGTCCAAAGGAGGAACTGGAATCGCTGCTAAGGAAAATGGAAGAGGGCACGAAGCTTGTATGCAAGTGTTCAACGGTTGGAAGGCTAGATTATGTGGGAAGGGTTCGTTACCAGAATCAGATAGAAGAGCTTTCGAACTGGCTCATGAGGTTTTTCGTCATTGACCTGCAAGCTCAGATGGCGAGAGATCTTAAGGAGACCTTGCGTAAGGTTTCAGGAGCTGCTGCGTCTTCACTTCATGAATCTGATGTCAATAGCTCAACAAAAGCCCAATCATTAGTGAATGATTCTGCTGATTAAGTAAGTCCTTTTACATTCTACTGCATCTCAAATATTTTATACGTACACCACCTGTAAATGATTGAAGAAATGTATTAGTTTGGCACACATAATTCTAAGAGTGAGTATTGATTGAGTTATTATAGTGAATAACTCTAGTTTTACGTTTAATTTCAATAATTCAACAGTTGAATAAAAGAATTTTAAAGAATAGGTCAAGTTTACAAATTTTATCAAAATTTAAAAATTGTTTGATACTTTGTTACATTAAATCAAATTCAAGTATATTCTTAAAAAAACATATTGTACATTAATTTTAATCTTATAACGTAGTTTTATATAATTTTTAACTTTTGTAAAATTTGTATACTTGAATAATCATTAAGAATTTTTAATTCGATTGAATCGTTGAAATTTAATGTAGAGGATAAGTTATTGAGTGAAGTAACTTCATACCCTAAATCAAGGGTAACTCTTTGTTTGTGGAGATTTTCGTTCGTAGGTCCTTTTTACTCAAACTAACAAATTAAGCTTCAATTTAGGTATGTGTGACAAGTAATGTATCTTACGTATTTCTCAATTAAGATTACCCATGAAGTTCACCAAATGCAAATGCAAATGACTATAAACCAGTTGAGATCCACTTTGATATGAATTAACATGCAAAGATTTCCAAGTGTTCATCGATGGTTATCACAAAATAAGTTTCATGCACATGAACATTCAAGTGAATCGAATGAACAACATACACATTAATAACAGAAATCATTATTTATTTGCTTCACCTAATTACTGGATTACTACACATAATGGTTCTGAGAAGTAAAGGAACTACAAAACTACGTTACACTAAACTAAGATAGAACTATCCTAAGAAGAGAAAAAGTGTGGTCAAGAAGCCTTACTCAACATTCTCATACACGGGAGCCATATGCGTAGACAGTGAGTGTCGTGAGATTTTGTAAGTATGATTTTCTGACCCCTTTTAGTGATATTGACTTACCTATTTATAGAAGGATGGGAATAATAGTGGGGATTCGTCGTGTCAAGCATAACTGCCCCACGACGTAAGACGTGCAACCTCCTTTGACCGCTCTCACCCATGTCTTTGGAACTATATAGTCTTGAAAACTTCCATTCAAGAGCTAGTTATTATGCACATTCTCTTCATGGCCTATATCTTTCTCGTATGGGTAACTCCCTAGAACCGTATGTAACCGTCTCATAACTACATCTTCAAGTAACATAGTTCTTTCAAGATTTGTGATGTACACAATGTCTTAGCCACTCTTTTGCTTTTACGTGTATATCCTATTCCTCCTACTAACATTCTCTCTTTCTTTCTTTCTCTTTCTCTCGAGAGATGAGAGATCAAATTATGCCAAAAGTAACTCTTGGTAAAGTTACTTCACTCAATAACTCATAATATATGTTGAATTTCAATAATTTAATTGTTAAATTATAAGTTTTTAATGCATAAATTAACTCTACAAATGTTTTTAAATTTTGAAAATTAATTGATATTTTGTTATATAGATTAAAATCAACATACAAAATATTTTTATGATTATCCATATCAATTTGAATTCATGAAACGAAGTATTAAATAATTTTTAAATATTTTAAAAAAATTTAAAGTTGATTTATACATTAAAAACCTTTAATTTAACTATTGATCATTAAAATTCGACATACACCATGACTTATTAAGTGGAATAACTTTATCAAGAAATACTCTTAGAGTAATTTGATCTTTTTCATATATATATATATATATATATATATAATTAGACT